CACATCCATCTTAACATACATTATGATTTTTTATAATCAACTTATAAATAACTATGACAAGCCACTTGAGGATATAAAAACTATAAGTTTAGTTAATATAAAGTCCTCGACTAATAGATTTATGTAAGGAAATTACTCTATGTTTTGTCGAGATTACAGCAGATGAGAACAAATTCACCGAACGACTGAACGTTGTTGAGTAGTAAGAAAAACTTGTATAGTTATATGTTCATTAACACTATCGTAACGGTTAAATCCCTGTCATCAAACAAACTGTTATTGTAACCGTTTTAGCTGACAAAAAGACTACCGTTGGTGTAATAGCAAAAGGGGCGTTTTCTTTAACGTAATCGTAGAGATTGACAACGTGTAGATTATATAAATTTACAACGGTACAACTTTCTGTTTAGAAGCGATCTGAAGATCACATGGTTGAATTGGCCCTCAAAATGCCGACTACAGACCATTTGGCTAACGACGAACTAAAACGATGTAAAAAATTCGACCATCATGAAGAAGACTTCACGAGTGCTGCTAGAAGACTGGGGGACAAGTAAGACCAATAATGGGTAAATGTGTAAACAAAAGAAGGTAGACTTTTTTAGAAACATGAAACTGCTTCAATTGGATTGCGACGCGGGAACATTAGCGTTGGAAACTATCGTCGGAAGATTATCCATTTTGGGTCGATGCACCACTGTCTGTGTTAGCAATTGTTTCGCATTTGTTTATTTTATATTCCACTAAACAATTGCCGTATGGATTTCCTACTGATGTGTCAATACCATTGTGATTGTAGATTGTAAAACGTGGTCACCACGCAGTGTGTATACAACTTTATGTTTTGTGTTGATTAGTTTAATTGAAGTGTAATATTTCTGCGAACAGATTATTAAGTAATTAATTTGAAATTACCTAACCTTTTTTTTATTTAAATTTTCCTTATTAGTATGGAAGATATTAATTTTGTTGAGATTTATATTATTGGCCACGGCAGTTCCTGCCGCCAAAAAACAAAAGCATATATCACACGCGGGCGGCACAGGACCGGGCATCGTGGCAATCGATGGGGGAGGCCTACGTTCAGCAGTGGACGACCTAAGGCTGTTAATGATGGTGATATATCACACTATGTTCTCTATGCCGAATTTCATTGAGATCCATTTAACAGTTTAGGTTACAAACTAACAAACATCCATCCATCTAAACTTCCTCATTTATAATGTTAGTAAGATTTCTGCACGAATTATCAACAATGTTCATCTTCTTCGTATACCATCATCGAACTTAGATGTAGGAAATTTCCGTAATAACAAATTCCATGGTTTAGATTCAACAAAACTTGAAGGAACAGACGAAACAATGTCAACTCTCCGACGCGACGGCGTGTATCGTGAAACTTTGAGTTCTAAACTTGTACACAAGATAAAGTTTTACACAACACAAAACGTAAATTGGCCTGAAACTATTCGAACAAAATCTTGTACTTCTTTTAAAACAAATACATGTGTTAGATCATAGTTGTTTATTATTCTTTTTGTTGTCGGTAACATTTTAAAAGACTGGTTAATCCTTAATGCAATAATAAAAATGCTTTCGTGTTTTTAATTATTATGGTAATGTAAGAAGTAACTTAAATAACTAATTAATGTCTATGGTAAAAAATGAAACGAAATAAATGAAATCAGTTATTTTTTATAATTAAGTGAACTTTATCAGTCTCTTTTCATCAGTCGGGAACACATCTCGACTTGTTTTTAATTCGAATTAGAAAAAAATTATGTTTTGAAAGTCGATGCGTAGGATTATTCAGACTTTTCATAGAATCTGATCGCATTCAGAAATAAAATCTGTATTACTAAATGAATAAAGATAGGTTTAAAGAATCTACAGAACATGTCAGTTAAAAATAGTACAAAACATCAGAAGAATTAATTCATAGGAATTTAAAATTAATTATTTGAAAATGTTAGAATTGTTTTCGATAATTTATTCACTGTTAAACAAACTCAAACTAATTTAAAATAGTACTGCGTGTATGAATTCTCGAAGTCTATCTTCAAATATAACAAGAATATAATTGTAAACATAATTATTGATCTAGGCAACCTAATACTGTCTAGACATAGCTTATACTATAATGCCTATAACAATGTTATACGTGCAGCGACTCGCAGCCACCTCGTAAAATACGATTGGGTTTTCACTAAGGCTTTACTGCAAATGCGATTTAAGCGTATTATATTACTCTACTTTGAATTTTACGATACTAAGTGTACACGTAACTATTGCCCGAATAGAAAGGCTTATCTATCTCATGCCTGTAATTGCATGTATGTAAACACACTAGCTTTCGGCCGCGATTACGTCCGCATGCAATAAAAAAACAAAAGCAAGTAGCCTATTTATTCTTTCAGAATATGCTCTGCATCTATGCCATGTTTCATCAAGATTTGTTCAGCAGATTAGGCTACAAACTCTAACGAACATACATCCATCCATGTAAACTTTCGCATTTACAATATTAGTACGTGTAGTATTTACGTATCAGTATTGGTCCTGTGCGAAGCTGGGGCGGGTTGCTTGTAATTTAATAAGTATCTATGACCTATGCTGTGTGACATTCGATTCTAAGTTGGCATTGAATTTGATACTTTAACTAAGTATATCTGCTTATATGAATATTTATTGTGACATTGTGATCAGCTTTAATGTAACATTTTTGAATAAATTCGATTCGACGTCTTGTGTATTTTTAACTTTATGTAAACATCTGTTATATTAAACTGCAGGATTCTATTTCCTCTGTATATTCAAATAGCAATACCTGCGCCTGTTCATTGCCAGTGGTAAAGTTCAATTCGAATCTTGGAGCCGTCGCATTTCAAGTTGTCATAAAGTTAGAATTTATTACGTTAACTCATCTAGATTTGCATAGAAACTGTTAAAGTTTGCGTATTAGTTTTCAGCTTTGAAATTAATTTTAATATCAGTTTTTATTTTATCCGTTATCAAATGTTTCAGATGAACTATGCAATAAACAATTTAGAGATAAATAGCTTTAATTTAAAATTTGTACAAATTATATGAAAGGAAGACTAAGGTAGAAATAACAAATTTCCATTTGGTGGAAAAGTATTTTACTATGATACATGAAAAAAATTAAATGAATCGATTTTTGTAAGACTGTATCTCCGGGACGGCTTAACTGATTTCGCTGAAATTTTAACAACACAGGCTGCTTGTTATGTTTTACTAGCAGCATTACTAGAAACAATAGTGTATAGCCTACGTGTTCTTCCAGACTATCCTCTACATCTATACCAAATTTGATCGAAATCCGTTCAGCTGTTTAGGTTACAAACTCTAACAAACATCCATCCATCGTAACTTTCACATTTCTAATATTTTATAACTATGATTTTAAATTCGCGCAGACAAAACTTAAGATTCATATAACCTTATTAGTGATATCAGGAAAAATAAGAAGGTCTGAAAAATGTCAATTTTAAATACTGTGAATTATTTTAATCTTTAATTATGATTTTGTTCTGGCGATTTTCCTTTACATTAGACATGCTTAATTTCTAGGTCGTAGCTTACTTTACTTATTCAAGTACAAAGCGTCAAAGTTTAATTTAGCGTTGAATTATTATTAATTTTTATAAAGCGAATAGTTCAAGTAAATTTGAAAAGCGGATGAACCTAATTTGAAATTTTTATTTTTAATAATGAAATTTTTTTATTAACTGTAGTTTGCAATAATGAGATACTTGTAATCATACAGCCGTATCTTTGTTATTCAATGGAATTCAAAGAGAAGATATGAGAGGAAAGAGATCGAATTCTAAGACAGTTTTGTTAATATCACCATGTCAGTATATCCGACTACGAGATTAAAATATAGTATGTAATAAACTTTAATACGCAATCTGACACCCGCTACACACGCTCAGTTATATCTGAACTAGGGTTATAACGGAACTCCGTTTCCGCATCCGCAAGTACGGAACTTCCGCAAGAAATACTAACTCCGCATCAGCTTCCGTTAACATTCACTTCTGCAGAGGTGAAGCTCTTCGCCTCCGCATCCGCTTCCGTTTCCGTAAAAATGGCCTCCGATACAACCCTAATGAACATTCTGATCGTTCAGATAACTCTAATAAAACTGTGAACTGTATTCTTAGATTTGCCTACATGTCAGATTTCTCTGACCAATCCGATTATTTAAATAAAACAGAGCGTGTGTAGCAGACTTTATAGATTAAAGATCTCTAAGGTTATTTCTTTCACAAGTACCTACATTTCGTTATTATTATTAAGGTCAATTAACAAATTTAATATAAGATTACAGGATAAGTATATCCGTTTATATAAATAAAATAATAACAAAGACGTTAAAAAAGAATTTTGTTAATTTTTTTTTTAATACTAAAGGTAAGTAACATAGAGTAACAAAGTAATCAATATTTACGGTTCATTTAGTTGTTTCTTTTTGTAAAAAAATTCATGTCTATGTCATTCTATTCATAGAGGCTTGGTTAGGTCGCGATATGTTTTGTACAAAATGTCAAACAATGTAAACACAGAGGAAAGATTTGTTTATGAAGCGTAAACAGAAACTACTGAACCGATTTTAATTATTCTTTCTTTCTATTAGAAAACAATGTTACCTAGAATAACATTATTGATAATAATTAGACATTAAGGACATGGTTTAATTCTGTAATAACTCCACATAAACTAGTCAAGTTGTAAAGTATTGGCTTTCATTACTAAATTTACAATTAGGACCCCAGACAATAAACTGATCTTTGTAACTATTGGTAACTAACCTCAATAAACATTTTCAGAAAAAAAAATTTTTTTTTCATCCAAACTTACGTTGACTTTCTTTGTTGCCTATTGATTTGTCATTAAATAGTACAAAAATATTTAATACACGAAATTAACAATTCCTTAATATACTTTTAAATAAACTATTATAATTAAAAATATACCTTTAATATAACTGTCTTCGTATAATTGTAAACACAATCCAAAAACAAAACACAGATAAATTCAGAAAACAAACACAGAAAAAACCGTTTGTTAAAACTTTTAAACGAATTCGATTTTCAAATTATAATAGTTCGCGCGCTATTCGTAAGGCAAGCGATCGTTAGACGCCGACCTAAGCAACTGATATTTTCATTGACGCGCGTGCGCACCCAAGCAAGGAACACGCTATGTCCGAGATCGCATTTTACCGCGTTTTAGCAATAAACAAATCTACTGATTGAACATATTGTTATGACCATTGATATCACATGTAATTACACATTAAATATAATTTTATACGAATAAAAACGTCGAAAACGTGTTACGTTAAAATTGTTCAATATCATTTAGAATTTATAAAATTGTTTTGTTAATTTCCATTTTGATTATTTATGGGAAACATTATTTATATTATGTGTCTCTTATACTAGGTAATAATTATTGTATTTTAGTAATTTGAATTTCTTTATACAAAGTAATCTTTCTTTTTTCTTCATTTATTGTTATTTTAACAATAATTAGAATATCATCGCTTTACCTTACTTCGAATTTTTTTTCTTACTATTCATTATTTTTACGTCTCCACCTCCATCAATTAAGTAGGGGATTTTGGGGGATTCAAGTGGCACCACCGCCTTAAGATATTAAAAATTAGTACATTTTTCAATAACCTTATTAAATGAATTATTTCTCATACTTCGTCTTCCATCTTTAGAGCGCGCGCAAACCTTTGAATAAACTATCACACAAATGTTTAGTCACGCTTTGATTCCTATGTGCTTATATGGAGGTGGCCACACTACTCGATTTTTAGTTATGCAACTAAACAGTTGAATGTCAAAACAATCGACAATCGCACTACAGTTGTGCGATAGTTCAGTCAAAGGTGACGATCTTATCCAATATTTCCTAGTTCCGTGTTATCTAGAGGTTCATATGTATACATTGAGATTCCTCCCCTATGTTTATTGTTCATCATTAAGATGCGAGGAATGATTTGGCTTCGGTTCCTAACACTACGGAATGCGTAACCGAGTTGTGTAATTACATTGTCGTGATCCGGTCTTCCTGATCGAATAGTTTTGTATGTATTTAGCATCTATTGTAATTGTAGCGTAACAGAAGGAATCCTGTATTTACAAGCTTAAGGTAACCATAATATTCATTAGTACTAACTGTTGCTCGCTATTTTGCCTGCGTGAAATTAAAAAAAATATAAAAAAGTATAGCCTATGTTACTCTCAGATAAATTACCTTTCTAATTGTGGGAGAATTTTTAAAATTGGCCAAGTAGTTTTTGAGTTATTTCAATAAATACGAAAATACAAATCTTTCCTCTTTATAATGTTAGTATAGATTATTTTCTTCCGGGACAATTCTTTGCCAAACATCACTGTTGAACATTAAAACGAAATTTATATCTATAAATGCGTCGTATAGAGGCCATGCTGTATATTCATACTCTATTAAAATATACGTCTCACAGAATACAAGCAACGCTTACGTAGAGTGTTTAGATTCGTTTCAGAATTCGGCTGTTATTTCTTCTGCATGCGGAATTTTAAACACGCATAATGCTTCTAATTACTACATTACTATTTTTATGTAAAACAAAATATTTCAAATCAACTATTTCAGTTATTGTATTACAAATCTAACAGAAGCGTTAAACATTATTTATTGACCCCAAGTCAATGAAACATAAATGCATTATCTAGTTCATTCAAAGCAAAGGTTCCCAATCTTATTTCTAAGTATTACCTATCACTTTAGGAAAGACTAGTTCAATCGTTAATGTTTCCCTTATAGAAAGTACATTATCTGCTAATAGTTTTACTTGGAAAGCCGCGTTCACTCGCGAAAGTCGATATGTAGCGAGACATCAAGGAGATTGTAATATACAATACAGATACGGTAACAAAACCAGCAAAAAACTTAGAAGTGATAAGCTCTATTGTGATAAGGACAACTTTTCAAACGGAAGTATAGATTGGTACCAGTAAACAGAAAGAGATGATTTGATTACGCGAAAGGAGACACTATTAAGAAGGGAGTGACGACTGAGATATAAATTATAGATGAAGGATGAACGGTGATGTAATATGTAAATGAACGGTGATGAATAATAGAACGACAGAATTAACATGCATTACTAATAAAGAGTTTCGATTCGACTTAGAAAAAGCTATGCCAGATTGATCCTCATTTTAGACACCGTAAACGCAGTTTGAGCACTTGACTCGTGATCTACAGGTCCTGGATTTGAATCCTGCCATGTACCAATGTAATGTTCTTACGGTAAAGGAAAACATCGTAATGCAACCTGTACATATTAGAGAAGATATTCAAATGTATGTGTGAAGTCAACCAACCCGTAGTGGGCCAGCGTGGTTGACTATGTTCTAGTCACCCTTAACTTAAGGTAGGCTCCGAGCCCTATGATGGGGACTTACATTGAGCTGGTCATGAAAAACGTTACATAACAGCATTAAGATACATTTCTACCAGTAGTTTTCAGTGGAATTGTATTGTAATCAACAATGCATTCGCTAATGTATTGTTACTCCAGATGTCACGCACCATATACAAACGATTTTCTTCAGAAAGTGACAAACGATATATTAGCGTAATTATGTTATTAGGGAAAGCAAGTTTTCTAGCGACGTGCGATATTAAAGTAATTTAGTGAACATTACTGCTTTCTGAACATTATCTTTGTAGCACATTAAGTATTATTAAATCGGTTTTCAGTATTTTTCGATGTTAACATATTTGAATTCATCTAATTTTAAAATACGTTCTAATATTATAAATGCGAAAGTTTAGATGGATGGATGTTTGTTATAGTTTGTAGCCTAAATTTTCTCTTAATTAAATTTGGCTCTTAATTAATTTATCTTAATTAAATTTGGCCTAGATGTAGAGGATAGTCTAAAAGAACACATAGGCTATTTACTTTTGTTAATTTCCAATTCCACGCAGATGTAGTCGTGGGCAAAAGCTAGTTAATAATTATATCGATCGTCGCATACTTCTGTAGTTTAAAAACTATACGTGCATTAAATTGTGTTTAAACATTTCATTACATTTCCTTTAGTACGTATTTTTCACTGCACATTACAAAAGAAAGTAATGGACGTCGCAGTCGCGACTACAGCAAATATATCCGCCACTGAGAGAATAAATTCAACACTCGCTTACATCTAGCTTAAAGCCAACTATTCACGGTATTTTTATTTTAAATCGAATGAAAGACATGTGATATTTTAGATTTTGACATTTTTAATATAAAAGAAATAATATTAGATTTCGGAAACAATATAAGCATTTATGTTTTTTTAAACATCAACACAATTTTTCTATCAAATCATAAATATCTTAAGTTATTTATTACTTTATTATTGTTATTCTAAAAAGATGGTATTCAAGTAAATTCAAAACTCGTTCCATATTTAATGAACTTTAGTGGAATAGTTTATACGTTTCTTTTTAAATAATAATTAGTCGGTTCGTGACTAGGCAGCTTTATCCGGTGTAGGCTAGTATGTCACTAGCTGTGTATCCTTGTTTTCTAGCTACCGGCCGCCGGGCGAGATGCCACGCGTTTATTAGCCGCAATCCACTGCAATAGCTACGTGTCAATTACTGGACGTTTCATTCTACAAATCCTTATTGTTAAAAGACAGCAAATTTTTATTAGACTTATAAACTCAAAATACTATGACAGCATTTTAAATTCGCCTAGAAATGTTTGTACAATTGTCGTGATTAAATTGAAATGGTTGAACTGTTGAATTGATTAAAATATAGATGTAATTATAGATTAAACTCCATGAAAAAAATAATTGATGTTGAACCTTTAATTGAATGTTTAATGTGAATAGAATCGTTGGTAACATCTATACTATTATAATAAAGCGTAAACACACACTTCTTTGTTGTCTAAGATGTCAGTAATTAATAAAGTATAAATAAATGTATATTTTTGAATAATACTTTTTGTAATAATATATTTTCACGCCATTAAACTTAGGGCGTAAAAACTTTGGATAAAAACCCTAATGTGGGAAAGAGACCATAGTTGCTGCCAACATGAAGGAAGTACGATTGCCAAGGTTTGTAATGTCATGTCATCTTGACATTTGCTATTGATAATTTGACAAATGTGAACAATAAAATGAAATTTTCATAATTTTATGCGGATGAAGCCACACGGGAACAGTTTGTTATTTTTTAATGAATCTTTTAAATTAATTTGACAGAAGGAACAAAATTTCAACCACTTACTCTTGGAACAGGAAACTTACTTTAACAAAACTAATTTCTATCTATGAGCGTCACTATTCCTGTCGGAATGCTTTATAGTTCACAATCTAACGTCTTGATTTAGAGAGATAGCACGTCTAGACAGATTGCTAGACTGAGGAACGCTTAATTTGAGTCAACTGCTGCTAGGATATTCGAGTATTTCAATAACTTACGACCAAATACTGAAACGAATCTTACTTCGTTTTGTGCATTACAATCTGATAGACATGAAAATTTGCAATGAATTTAAAGTTTTAGCGAATCCTTAATTGAGACGCTGTTACGCATTTAAATGACGTTTCGTATTCGGTTGTTAGTGAATTTAAAAATAAAACCATAGTGGATTAAATAGTTTTTAATATAATACATAAATTCAGTTTACTCTGATCTTTAGATTACGCAGTTACCATCTCCACATAAAAATATTTTACACAATTTAAATGGTTTATTAGTTTACGTATCTGTAGTGTGTGGCAATACCATTGTCTACAGTGATGGTATCATGCCAGCAACGCAGTCCTATCGCAGTCTGCGGCCATCGACGAGCGGACACAACCATATGCTATTTATATTACAGTATCTGATATATTTTCGTAAAAAATATCATCATCATCATCTCCCCTGCCTTATCCTACTCCCGTAGGGTCGGCGCACCGGGTTTTCGTCTTCCAAAGCAAATTTTTAAATTTTAATTTTATTTAAATTTTCGTTTAAAATAGTCAAAAAATATTTTTAGAAAGAAAAAAAGAATACCTTACTTTCTTTCTTTAGATTATTTTATTGCATTTAATGGAAAAAAAAATGTCATCTTAC